AGGCCACAGAATCATAGGCATATTCAGAATAGAATCATACGCATGGACATATGCCACTGGTTAGTTAGATGAGGTGTTCCCAGGAGTAAGCTAGATCTACTAAAAATGATTAGATCTGTACAAGCAGAATTTTAGGTCAAGTGAATGACAACCTAAATTTAATCACCAGAATAGAAAGTCATGTCCCTTTATCAATGCTCAAAGTTGAACCAGTTTACAGATCTATCATCCTTTGATCAAAGAGTGCCTGGGTGCCCTTGAGGAAGGACTCCTCACCACTACCAAAAGTATACGCTGAAGTTGTTCTCCCAGCCTCCTCTATGTTATATCTACTGCAAATAGCCAGGGATGGACAACTATTTATGAGTGACTGTTCTTGGTAGGAAAGGACATCATCATTTTCTGGGGGATTTCTAGACCCAGGTTCTGAATTGACACTAGTTCCAGAAGATCCCAAACGTCACTGTGGCCCACCAGTCAGAGTGAGAGTCTCATGGAGGCCAAGCCATTAATGGAGTCTTAGGTCAGGTATGATTTACACTGTATACAGTAGATCCATGAACTCGTCTTGTGATATCCTCAATTGTAGAACACATACATGGAATGAATATACTTAGCAACTGTCACAAACCCCATAATGGATCCATGACATGTGGAACAAGGGCTATTACCACAGGAAATGTCAAGTACAAACCACTGGACTGCTTTACCCAGGAAAACAGTAAGCAAAGGCACTGCTGCCGTCCTGGGCAGATTGCAGAGAGTAGTGACACAATCGAGGAACTGAAGGACGCAGGGGTGGGGTTCCTACTACATCTCTCACTATCTTAGTCAGCCCATGAAAACACAGAGGGATTTGGGAGAATTTCAGAAAAATAAGAAAGAAAGATGGCTTGAAGAAAAGTATTGCATTCAACATTGTAAAATTAGCACAAGAAACGTTCTCATAGAAGGCTCTTTAGGAGAGAAAGAAAATGGTGCAATATTAAAATATGAAATTGCTGGACAATGTACAAGTATTAAAGCAAATGATGTTTATATATTTGAAAATTACAATGAACTTTTCTTATGAAATAATATCTTACCACTATAGAGTATATTTCAAATTTATGATGCACGTTTTTTCCTTGAGAATTTAAAACACTTTAAATAATTTGGGCTTTGCCTAGCTCCCCAGAATGGTAGAATATGACTGATAACTGCCTTTAGAATCCCTAATAGCTAAATTACAATTATTATGCAAAGTCCTACAATAGACAGTTATATGGATTGTTAAATGACTTTGCCTTTTTTGCAAACTATAATCATTTTCCTTTATTAGTTGAAGGATTTCATAATTTAAGGAAGATGAGAAACCTATAAGTCACACTTTCAAATAAGGAGCATGGATATTGCAAACATTAAATTCCTCCATAAAAATGTTAAGGCATCATTAAACTAGGTTCAGATTAATACAATTCAGTCAACTCTAGATAGATATCTCCCATAATAAGCTGAAACAATACCTAGTGATCTAAGATGTAAAATATTTTACTACAGCCAATTTATAAACCTATAAAACATACAGGTATCATTCAATCCCTTTATTAATAGTGCATGCCTTGTATTAAATCAAAATCATTTTAAAGGCCCCTCCCCTTTTGCATTCTCTTCCTCTGCTGTTGCTGTCATTATGTGGTGTTTTATTGAAGCTCATCCGAAGTGAATGACAGCATCTCTTTTTTTACTCAAAGCAGGAGAGGCAATTCTCAGCTTAATGGTACTGTTGAACTATTTTGGAGATTTATAGACACACTTGTTACCTCAACCTATGGCCTAGTGCTGATATATTTATATCTTCATAAGTAGATATGTTTTTTGCTCACTTTGAAAAACTGCTTCTTTATTTTTTGTAACTTTTAGGGGAAAGTTGTTGTGTCTGAGTTATATAACCAGAAAACTGATATGGGGGAGACTTGTATTACAATTGTGAATCTGGTGGAAGAATCCCTTTCTCAACACATTTTTCTCCAATAAGAAACCCAAGCCTTTTGTAGAGATTGAAGTTACTTAGTATTTTAATGAGTTGCTCATTCTGGTTGTCTGTTGCCATATCACAACCCCAAAGTAACAACTTTTAGTAGCTTAAAGTAACAACCATATTTATTACACTTACGAATCTGCCATCTGGGCTGCTTCCTTGGGAAATGTCTCTCCTTGCAATGTTGGAGGCTGCAATTCAATGTTTAGGAAGATTTCTATAGGTTCACATACCTATATGGGGTTGGGCATCACTAAGTCCATGTATCATCTCCAATCTGGCACCTTCACGGAAGTAAAACTTTATATGTTGGCTCATGGCTTCCAAAACAGATTCTTTATTTTTCTTTTCCAAAACAGATTCTTATGAGAAAAATAAACAGATGGGAAATCTATCTTCTTTTCTAACCAGGCCTGCAATTCAAACACATCACTTCCACCTTTTTACATTTGTTAAGATAAAGTCACTAAGACTGATTTATCAGTAAGGGGATAGTACTAGCAAACATTATTGATGGGAGTAGTGGCAAAGAATGTGGATGCAGGTTCAAAAGCTATCACATCATCAAAGGGAATTGACCCAGTCCTTTTAAATACCAGTCTGAAAAATAATCAACAGTCCATTTCCAAAGTTCCTTTACAAAAGCTATGTTTAAAATGTAATATATGTTCATAATACTATGTTCCATAGCCTCCTTTATAACAAGGTGTAAAATTCAAGATTAGTTTGATTTTTTAAGAAAAAAATTCAGGTGTAATAAGTAAAATTTCAAAAACATGAAAATATAAGTTATATTCTTACCAGAATTTAAAACTCTGACTCATGACAGATGCATATTTATGGTTAAGCTATTTGTAAATTTTAATACCATTTTGTAGAGGATTTATTATATTGACAAACAATAAAACAATAAAAACAAAATTGTTTTTATTCAAAATCATTGGAGGATAGTTTTTCTCAAACTAGGAAAACCTTTAAAGGATGAAGTCCAAATCTCTAAAAATGTGATTATCTAGACCATAATGAAAATTAAAGAAAACAGATAAACTATTAAATTACAACCATTAAACTGATAGATATTTGATATTTAGAGTATAACTATTCATAAATCCCTGTAATAGTTTATAAAGAAATACTATATCACTGATTTCTTAGAATAGCTATACACAATAGAAATTTATTTCTAATTCATATAACTAATTTGTATAGGAGATTCCTTGGTTCTGGTTGGTAGGAGGATTTCCTCACTTCAGTATGGCATATTTGTGTCAGCCAAAAGATCAAGTCCTAGACAGACCACAGCCATCACCTTGAATCCCAGTTGGCAAAATTGAAAGGCGTATCAACGATGTCTGGACTTCCTCATCAGGGTACTCCTTGGTTCTTTAGTAAGGAAATTTCCCTGAGTTCTCATTTGGAACATAGTCAGCTAAATGGGCTTATAAATCCAAAATACTCACAAATATCAAAATACAAAATAAATTTTAAAATTCCCTTCTCATATGTACCTTCCTAAACTATCTTGTCTGGTATTTACCAAAGAGCTCTACTCCCAGTACTTCCGTAACTTCTACTTTATCATCAAGTTTAGATTTCTGAGGAATAGTACATTTTTATGCCAGCTGTAGTTTTTCAACAAAAATGTAAATACTAATTCAATGGTTACTGCCCTGGTGCCAGTATGTGCCTTCCATGTAGACTAATGTTCTATGCTGAACCAGAACACACATCCTCAAGTCTAACCCCCTATCAGCTCAAGGCCTGCGCTTATCAAATCTCTGCATTTCAGTGAATACATACGGACCAAGTGTGTAGCAACGCTGATACTCTGTTTGATTTGACTGAGCTGAGAGAGCATCCCAATTAACAGTTATTTGACAGAAGAAAGGCCTAAGGTTTTGTCTTGAAATGTAATGAATGGCAAAGCTCAGAAAGACAGTACCGGTAATACTAGTATTCAACAAATATCTGAAGGAAATGATAATCAAAGTAGTGGGTAAGGTCCAAAATCATAGTACCTAAGAGCAAAACACTTCCCTTATTGCAAGAATGCCTTTAAGCTTATATATTTACCAAACAGCTTACATTAACCTTTTCTAAAATATACATATTATATACAAAGTGCCCACTTGGCACTGTGGGTTAAACATTGGACGGCTAACCGCAAGGCCAGTGGTTCATATGCACCAGAAGCTCTGAGAAAGAAAGATGAGGTGGTTTGATTCTATAAATATTTATAGCAATAGAAAATGTATCTAGGATCACTCTGAGTTAGAATAGACTTGATGACAATGGGTTTGGTCTGAGTTTTGATTTTAATATGTAAGTTAATAGATGAGCTAGAATATACTTAATCTTTTACCCCATAAAAATAATTGTATCTATACAAATGACACAATTGTCTCTGATAATTGCTCTTTCTAGTGCAGAATGCCACAATGACAAGTAGACTGTCGTCATGTGACCAACTGTAAACTACGCAGTCATAGGAAATGTGTTAAAAGGAATTGGACTTAGTAAGGCACAAGCTATTAGTAAAGTTTTTGTCATATCAATTAATTTATACAAACATTTCAAAATAAATCCATGATTTTCTAGTAAGTTGATCAAGAAATTTCACAAATTGGTAAGTTAAGTCTTCTAATATATTAACTATTAATATACATATATGTCATGCAAAATAAGTAAACAAAAAACCCTTCAAACTATAGAAAGGTAAATTTACATAAGATAGTTCATTTCGCAAGATAAATTAGCTGATAACCCAACAATAGGATACACTGAGTGCGATTTTGTGTAGGAAACGAAAGGTCAAATGTCAAGCTGAGTTGCCACACAGACACCAAAAAACAGCAAAACAAACTTTTCTTCTAAAACACAGTTGTGGTTTGTGTTCAATTATTTCAAATCTCCAAGAGATTTCTTTTCATAAAATTTTTTTTAAAAATTACACACATGGGTAAATTTATTTATCATGTGACTTTAAAATTCTGTGACATGACAAATCCCCTACACAGATTTCCTTCTCTTTCCAAACACATTATTGATTAATTTGGCCATGGATTTAGATCCACTTGGTCTTCTTTTTTCTTTGAGTTTGGAGTTTGTCAGCACATCCTTGATAACTTTGAGAAACATCAATTCTACCTCCAGAGACTGCTCGGCCGCAGACAGCTCACAGAATTGGCACCGGTGATCTAGGGCCAGCTTTTGCCCCTCTTCCCAGCCAACTTCTCTCATGTGGCACAGATCTTGCTTATTGCCAACCAAAACCATTGCTGATTCCACAGCTCTGAAACATAGATTCCATAGGAAGATAGGTTTAACAACAATCTAAAAATTAGAAAGGATGTTATGACTATTGATCAAAAGGGAACAATAAAGGTGCATGTGTGTGTAGTTTTACAGTGCAATTGTTTATGGCCAGGTGAGTTTCCTTATGGATAAGAAATTGTAAAGTCATTGCCATTACACAGATTTCTCATACATTTAATTGAAATGATAATGAATGAGACATTAAGAATACCAACCATAGTGGCAGCTAATGAAAACTGCTTACTCAATATTATTTTTCATTTTCTCATCAGTTGAAAAGACGTAAGGATATCCCTGTGTATATAATTACTATAATTGAATCATTTAGATCTAATTTTCCTAAGGAAAAATATTTTTCAATATTAATTGCTGCTTTCGGTCTATTTTAACATGCTTTAAAGAAAAGTTTACAGCCTCATGACCTTGTATCATTTTTCTATGCAAGAAAAAGATTCACTGCTAAAATGATGTCTTCAGCAAATATTAGTTCCCTGGTTTATAACTAACCACTACTGAAAAATAATTTTATTTGGAGACTACAGTGAGACAATGAGCACTTACTTGACTTGGAACTATGCTAAACTCTGAGTAAAATGGGTAAATACAGGCTTCAACTCTACCTAAGAGATATTTGTTTCCAAAAATGGCTTAATTCACATGACAGTCAATGTGAGTGCTAAAGAAAAAGCATTGCATGTAATAAACTATTATTGTGTTAATAATATCGTTTCTATTAATTCACAAAATCACTGTAAAGTATAAATGGTAGTGTGTTGATGCAACTTATTTAAAGGGTGAGCCACAAGTATGAGATGTAATCTTACAAAATGATTCTATATTTTCCTCTCCTAGCCTACCTAAGATTGATAATGGAAAATCCTCTAGAATTAGTCAATATATTTAGAAGCATGTGTGAAAAATTTTAAAATGTTTTATATTGCAAGTTTCTAAGTGTCCTTGAGTAACTCTTTCGATTTGGTGGAATAGCAAATAAATTTTATTCTTGTCTCTAAGGGCAAAATTCTGGTTAAGACAAGTACAAAGACTAGCTTACCTCAGCATGTTGAACAAAAATAAATGCTTTAAGAGAATGGCTACAACAATAAAAAAGATAAGGAAAACTATATGGGAAACCTCAGATGCTTACACTTTTATCTAGTAATTGACAATGGTTTCAAGCACAGTTATTCATTCTTTCTCGGTCACTTGTACCAAGCATATTAACAATTCAGAATTGTTCATCATCCCTTTATTTGGGGAGGGGGGTGAAATGAAGAACACAAGTGTCTCCCTACACAGGGATATTGTAAATGGTTTGATTATTCATCCTGCTTGGTATCAATAGATTGAACAACCCAAAGACTAGGAATTGGATTTCACAGGATGCCCAATGTAATAAATCTAGATTTATTTAGTATCCTTAACATTTCTCTGGGAATAAAAAGGAAAAAATTGGAAATGAACGATCTTGTGTATGGAAGACCGTTATTTTGCAAGTGAGTGTCATGTTAACAATAGGAGCTGTCTTGTAAAAATAGCCATTTACCTAAAGCAAGTAACTGTTTATGTCAGCTGGAATATAAAGTATTCTCATCTTCTTCTTTTTACTACACGTGTAACTCCTGTGGAATGGGAAGGTGAATTGTTCAGGGCTGTTAAATTTTGTAATTGGAAGACTGTATTAAACTCTTCCTAATGATGCTTACAACTAGCTATATGACGATTTACTAAAAGGAAAGGAGAAAGGAATGAAAAATACCATACCTTTTACAATGACTAGTTTGTGGCTCCCGGATTCTGTAGATCAGTGCTTTCGCAAAAGCAAAAGACGACCTGTCACTGATATCATACACAATGACAAAGCCATCGGCCCAATGGAGCTCCCTCGTGAGGGAGAATTTTGCTTTCTGTGGCTGAAAATAAAACAAGCACATAGCAAATAGAGAGACACGACACACTTGTATTTTGCATTTTAAGTGGTTAATTAATGGAGACCTATTTTACATGGAAGAGATTTTAATAAATAATATGCCCAGAAAAATAGCATAGGACTGTTATTTTCTAATCTAAAATGTAATTCTCTTTGTCTTTTTTCTTTTTAAAAGTGATTAAAATTTGAAATTTAAAGAATAAGTATAATACAATTTATATTTAAGTAAATATGGATTTTCTCTAAGAAATTGTATGTCTACTTTTTCTGAAAAACTGATGAACTATAATCATTTCTTTTTGAACTAATCTCCACATATATATTTTCAAAAGATGTATTTCCTCCTACTTTTAATAAATGGAGTATCTATTGATATGTGTAGCTCTATTTACATCAGTAACAAAAATTAGATGAAAAGGTTTCAGGAAGATTTTACTTACCTAATAATAATCTGACCCATGGAATTGAATTGAAATCTCTTATTTGTGTAATTTTGTTTAATAATAATTAAACTTTTTATATTTTAGTGGTTAAAGAAGTTTGCATTCAAAATCTTCATTAGCTACACTGTAAGACAACTGACTAATTTAATTACAAACACCAAACCAAGACCAAACTTTGGGCGATGAAGTCAATTCTCACGCATAGTGACCGGGTAGAACTGCCCTTGTGAGTTCCAAGGCAGTAATTTTATGGGAAGCAACACCCTCATGTTTCCCTCATGGAGGGATTGGTGAGTTCAAACTGCTGGACTTGTGGTTAGCAGCCTAAAGCTTAACTACTAAGCCACCAGGGATCCTAATTAACACACAACTTAGTAAAAATGTAAACTGACTTAACAAATCATTAAGCTATTCTGATTGCAGCGGACCTGATAGGAACACAAGTACACGGTGAATTTTGATTATTATTGCTTTTTAAATTGTATATTTAAAAGGAGATTATTTTAAACCAATTTCAGAGATGCTAAATAATTGAAGCTGTAGCACTAAGATTATCTCTTAAGATTTTGATAAATGAGAAGACTGTAGACACTTCCGTTTAAGGCTGGCAAATTTCCACATTCTATCATCTAATCTTCCAGTCATGATTAAAAATAAACAAAACAAAAATGTTTTTTGCTTTACTTACTTGAGAACAAGGATCATGTATTTCCAGATTCAGCTGCTTTCCTTCGAAATCTAAATATTTATTGTAGATAGATTCTGCAAAAATAAGCAGACTGTCAATATAGAAATACTACATAAGAAAAAAAATGTACTCATATGTGGATTATATTCTGGCAAATTCTGCCAGCCAAATTTTCCTGAAATAATAAGGTAACTTTTGTTTGCTGCTGGGAAACTGTGTCTGCTCAAATTTGCTCATACATGTGTGGTGTTTTATCAATTGTCTCCACCATTATATTTGGGCCCCAAGTGGTGTGATGGTTATGCGTTGGTCCGTGAAACACGTTTGAAACCACCAAGAGAATGTCCGGATTTCTACTCCCGTAAAGAGTCAATAGTCTAGAAGCCCCCAGGGGCAGTTCCACCCTGTCCTACGAGGTTGCTAGGAGTTGTTGGAAACAACGTGATGGCAGTGATTTCAGTGTTATTTTTCTTTTCTTTTCTTTTCTTTTGTGTATCCTTTGGGTAGCTGACTTATCTGCTTTCCAATGTAAGTTCAATTTATTCACCATTGACTAGTTATCATTTCCTATCAACTACTGAAAAACAAGATCCCAACAATTCTATATCTCTCTTCTGCATTATAAAATGTTTTTTCTTTAGCATTTCATTTATATCAGTATTCAAACATGCAGAATTTCTACTAATTAAAAAAATTATCATATCTCACAATGCTTTAAAATTATTGCACTATTTTTTGCTGGCTTCTCACTAACTTTATCTAATCTAACTAATTTAACATCAAATTGAGTGAATTATTTCATAAAACAATATTCAACTCAAATACAGTGCCTACTGTGTCATTTCAAGCCAGAATGCACAAATAAAGATGCAGAAGAGCGTAAAAACTGCAGAACCCACGAAAACACTTCTGAGCTTAATTGCAATTTAATTATAATGCTACTATTTCTAGGTGAAAAAAAATGTAGAGTAAGGACTTACCAAAATTGGATGCATATTCTCCAATGAATCTCTTGGTAAGGAACCTTACTGTAAGGGCTGTGAAATAAACAAGATTTATTTAGGATTCTTTCTGTTTTAAAATATAATTTACTTATTTGAAATGAGATATCACTTAGACTAAGAATCACCAAGAATTAATGAAATCCTATGACTATCCTAGATTCTGTCTTAAATATTTAAATGATTTACAACCGTAGTGATTAGAACACTAAAATGAAAGTGATCTTACAGTACTGTACAATCAAATTTCTGTGTACTTAACTCATGAGCACAAATACAGAAGGCAATTTACCTTTTGTCATAGAAACAGATTTCTGATTCAACCTGAGATGCAATCACTATAACATGTTTGTTTGTTTTTTGACAAGACACATGACAAAAGCGACAAGGAGACAATCGAGCATTGGTGATTGTTTAAGGATATGTTATTATTGCTAGTTGCTACATTGAAAATTCAAGAAAAAGAGGGGAAACTCAAGCCTGGGATAGTTTGATTGTAGTTTTTGAGTCTGACCAGATATCAAAATTCATTTAGCTCAGGTGTCTGCAGTGGTGATATCTTCATCACCATGACAACATGGCAAAAAAGGGAAGGAACTTTGACATTAGGGTACCTAATCCCAGGTCAAAAAGCCAGGCCACTTCAAAGTTCTTTCATCTCTGAAATGTTTAATTTTTTTTTTCAGAGTCATTGTTTGGTCATTGGTGGCCTTGGTGTCAGGAGTGTGGGGGTAACCCTTAGGTTATATAGGGCTCATGCAGATTTCGATGAGCCCTATGAATTTTACACACTAAGGGAGTAAGGCATTAATATTTCAAATGTCTTGCTATAACTTGCTGTAAACGTAGTGATTTGTTATAAAAATAAAAGTATTAATAAAAATATGGATATCATTTTTGGAAGAATATTTTCACATGCGTGTATATGTTGGTGTGCATGTGCATGTGTATAGTTACAGTATCCCTTTTTTATCTTTCTATGCTATACCATAGAAAGCATCACCACTCACCAGATTTGCCTGTTCCTACACCACCCAAGACAGCCAGCTTCACGTCATTCATCCTGCTTCTCTCCTCCTCGGTCAGTCCTCTCTGCTGGAACGATGCTGAATTTAGCCCAGCTGTGCCAGTCGAATTCCTTTTTATTGCTTGTCCAATTTCTTAAGGTCAACTCCTCCCCATAGTCTAGCCATCCAATAATAACTTTATAAGTGTTTCCCAAAAGTATTTTTCAACATAGTCCATTTTCCATGATAAACACTGGAGTTACTATTTAGAAGCTAAAGCTTTTTAAGTCAATAGTTATGTACTTGTCACAGAGGCTTAGCTACCAACTCATCATTTCTGTATACTTGAATCTGCCTTCCTCAAGGGCCTAGGGAAATGGTCTTTCATTTTTAAAAAATGAGTGACTAAATAAACTATATAGTCCCTTTGATTGGATTCCTTTGTTTTTTTCTATTAATCTGATCCTAGAGCTTCTAGAGATTTTAATGTGCAAGGAAAAAGCTGGGGATGGGTGTGCAGATGAACTTAATAATATAAAGAAATGAAGCAGAAATAACAGAATTGCCTAGAATTTATTTGTTTAAAAATGATGATAAAAGTGGATATCCAGATCATATTTTTGAATCATGAAACTTTCAAGGAAAAGTACAGGCATTACAGAATTTGAATGTGAAAATTTCTCCTTTATTAACGTTATTAAGTGTTGTTTCTATTTGTTTTTACTTTAAGTCAAGATGAAATTATAAGATTCCTGGGGGTTGGAGGGAAGGGAAGGTGAATAAAGAAATTTTATGTTATTTGAAAAGGAATAAATAAATGTGACATGTTTCTTTCTGCAGTGCTTTTGTATTAAGAAACAAAAGGAGAAGAAAAGAGAAAATTTAGAAGCAGTATCTTGGCACCATTCACTCCTGCTGTACAATAAAGTGGTTAAATTTATCACATAAAAGGATGAGTCATCGTTTGTTTTATTACTCGAAGTTTTCCCATGTCTTTCTCACATCTATATGTCTTACTTGGGTATAGATATATTTGAGAGTGGAGAGAGCAAGGATTCAACTTCTGGGTATGTTTGAGAGTTGAGAAAAGAAGTCAACTTCTTCTGTACTAAATTGAGGCAAGGCAGTTCCATTTCCAGATAGAAAAAATAGGCAATAAATTATATTTATTTAACAAGCATTTCTTAATTGTTACTCTATTCTAAAACTATGTTGAATTTATAAACTCAGTGACTTCAAAAATGAATTTCCTACAATCACAGAGTTTGTCGTATACTAAGAGAAAAATAGAAACCAGAACAATAGCAAATTCAATAAGATCATTGCTAGAACAGGGTCCCAAGCATGGGAAATTGGAGCAGTGGATACCGAGACCTTTGAGGAGTTCTGGCTTGAATTATTCCCAGTATATTTGCCAGGGAGATAGTCTATTATTCCATTGCTATGTCTCTCTGCTCTTTTTGCTTCAACCTATGCTGGATTTGGGGGGTATTGTTTATGTGCTTGAGATAGTTATGTGCTTGAGATAGTTATGTGCTTGAGTTTATGTGCTTGAGATAAACTTTATGTGCTTGAGATAGTTTATGTGCTTGAGATAAACTTATTGTGCCAGCCTGGCTGATAAACACAACTGGGATTAACTGAAGAGCAGAGAGACAAATGGTTTGGTGAGCCTCACCTTTCTTGTCTCTCGCTCTTTGATCATCGGACCAGTGTGTGGCTGCCTTGCTTGTTCTGTGCCTCAATTTAAAGGCTACACTACCTGTGGGATGCCTGGCCTATGGACTGTGTGGTTCTAAGTTGAGGTCCCTTTAAGACATCTCTGGAGCTGGGGACTGACGGTTGGTGACCTGGCTGACAGTTGGTGACCTGCCTTGAGATTGGCTGCTGTGCTGACATAGCTTAGCTCTCTCTATAAACAGAAGAAGATCTGGCAGCAGACTGGACTTGAAGGACTGCTAGTCTCTCACAATTCTCTCTCACAGGAGTGAGTTGAACTGAGCCATTTGTAGTGCTTTATAATTTAATTGTTCATTTCTTGTATTATATATGTATCTGTATATGATTTAAAAGTTAATTTCTTGTTATATATCTAATTATCTTTATAAATAAATATATTAAATTATCACCAATTTGGTTTTATCTCACTAGAGAACCCTGTCTAAGACAGTGCTTGGAGACCGTGCCAAAATGAACATAAAGCAGGATAAATTGTCCAGCAGGTATCTTATCACTGTTCCCCTAATGGTGACTGGTAACATGGCCCCCTCCATGCTGGGGTCAACAAAAGGTGGCATGGTTTGCTATTGCAGTCCACTTTGCAATGTAGGTACTAAACATTGTCTAGCAATTACTCCAACAAACACAGTTGATGCAGAAGTCCCTGTTCACCATGCATGGGTTCTCAAAACATTCTGTACAAGGAATAAGCGGGAACATGCCTGTTAACCACTGGTAGGCCAGGAAAGCCAAATAGAAGTTGGAGCAAACCCTCCCAGGCCAAGTTAGGTATGCTGAGCACAAAGTGTTCTCAGGCCTGGCCACTTGGTTGGGGATCCTGGATATTTAAGACGAGGCACTGTCACACTGAATAACGGATGCTAGCTGATGGACCTCCAGCTTGTTCATGACTAACTCACTCCAGACTGAGAAGATTGGATACAGTCAAGCACCTCCTCAGAGTTCCTTCAACAATTATTTAAAGAGAAAATTGAGTTTCATTGTGAATGAAGGGCTGAACCTACTCTTGGATTTCTTGGGGGTTGGAGTCACAGGGACTTCATGACCAATGCCTCTCCTTTACCAAATAATGGGTTGTTAGTGGAAGTATTTGTGGTGGCTGGAAAACTCCTAATAGGATGGTGATAGTGCAGGGATTCTAATCCTGCACCTTCTGCCAGAGGGTTGGAGTCAAGGAACTCCTCAGTATCAACACACTGCACAAGGGCTTCAAGGTGGCCAAGAGACTCATATAGCGGTCAACAAAGAGATCGGTTTCATGCAAAGCTTCTGGAAGCAGCCAACAGGAGTTTCTAGAATTGTGTTAGACAGGGTTGTCTAGAGAAACAAAACCAGGACACTTATGATTTTATATATAAATATGAGGAATATAACAGCTAATTAGTCCACACAGCAGTACAGAGGGCTCAATTCAACTCACTTCCATAGTTAATATACTGGAACTCACAACTCACAGTTAATATACTGGAAGTCCTTCAAGTCATAAGGGCCATTGGGTCCAAGGTCAAAGAAGCAGACAGTTGTCTTCCAAAGGGCAATGCAGGCAGTCTGACCACAGCCAGCAAACAGCAGGGCAGGTCACCAACAGTCAGCAGGATGACAAGGTCTGACAGTGCCAAGCTCAAGCGATGTATACACCAGCAGTGTGGCAAAGCAGGTCTCAAAGGAATCTTAAGCTCTAGCGAAAAATCCATAGGTTGGCAATCCCACAGGTAGTGTAGCTCATCAGTTGAGGCAGAGAACTAGCAGCTCCATGCTGGTCTGATCATGGGAGAGAGACCAGAGCAAGAGAGAGAGGGGTAGGGATTGCCAACTCATTTATCTCTCTGCCCTCCAATCAAACTGTGACCTTATGAATCCCACATATTCTTTTTGGCCAGGTTGGCACAATAAATCTACTTGTCACAGTTCACCCTTGCCAACTAGGCACCTGTACACAATTCTTTAGCTGTATATAATTCCCAGACATTAATGAAATCACAATTACACTTAACATCAAACATCTATCATGCATATAAATGAAAATACACAATCTAATTGTATCTGGTGCATCATACATGAACAAAGGAATGATATTCAATAAGCACATATAAAGAAGATAAACTGACAATCACGAACCTGACTTTTGTAATTGATCCCATGGTCATAACTGATAGGTAGAACTACCTTCTTCTACTACCCATTCTGTATTACCTTTGCCCTCAGTGAGTACCTCAGCTGGCAGTGGTTGTTTGCCTGGTAGTGTGACTCAGAGCTTCATAATGAGTTGGTCTGGGAAAACTAGAGAACCAAATTCATAGAGACTCATATGTGAATAAGAAAGAGGTTTATATACAAGAGCAATTGAATATTGAGAAAACATCCCAGTCAAACCCAGATCAAATCCATAAGATCAATATTAGCCCATATGTCTCTTACCAAACTATAAAGTCCTCTTCAGACTCCCAAAACACAAGTAATGATTCTGAATGCAGGAAGATCGAAGGCTAGTGGATTGGAAGTCTTCTGGATCCAGTGGCGTTGTAAGCATCTCAGCACTGGCAGGGGTCTCTACATGGCTTATCTGGCTCCAGAGGTCGGGTTGCATCAGGGCAGGTCCACGTGGCTTCTCCAGTTCCCAGGACATAGGGCCATGTGTCTTGTCAGTAGAGCATCGTCTCCAGGAGTGAGCAAAGAGAGAAAAGCATCTCCTGCCTCCAAGGAGGACAAATCAGGAGTTTCCAAAATTCTCAGGAGAAGACCATGCCCACACAGAGGCCTCATCAGTTATAGCTTGATTGACAGGCCAGACTCCACCCCTTCATTTGTAGTCCTCTCAAATTGACATCAGAGTATGTAACTACCACAAGGAGTGAGACAGCCCTTTAGAAGTTGGGAGGTTTTATTTGGTGTCTTTGGAGGGATAGTGAGCTCTCTGCTCCTACTCTGAGTAATTTTTCTGGACTTCCTGGGTGGCTGACTTCAAAAGGATACTTGATGCATTAATGTGGAGTGTCTTAGACATGGAACAGCTGCAGCAGCAAAGCAACTAAACTGAGAGGAAGTGCAGAGCCTTTTTGAGTTCGGGATCTATGTTTGGGGAGTTCATGCTAAAGAGAAATTTCCTTGAATGCAGTGTTCATAAGCAGTCATGTGAGGACCACCACCGATGACTCCGGCAGTCCACACAGTACACCTGGACCAGGAAAAGAAGTTATCTAGACAGAAAAACAAAATGTCTGTCCCCAAGCACAGGAATGGACAGACCCAGTGATGTGAAGCTACATCATGAGATGTGTTAGACAGGGTTCTCTAGAGAAACAAAACCAGAATGCT